ACTGAATGACAAACTGGACAATGCAGGTGGTAGAGCCCAACCTTTGGCAATCTTGTGAGATATTTAAATTTTTTGTCACTAAAATAACACTGGAGAAACAGGAAAATATGGAGAAGAGGTCACACTGGTAAACTGGAAAGTTGGAGGAATGAAGAAAGAAGTATGGAAGTGGAGTGAGCATAATGGTATGAGAAGGACAGATCAAATTGCCAGGGCTAATTTCAGAGTCTCCAAGCATAAAATAGTGATACATAATAATTAATAAGTTATAGAGTAAAAGTGGTTGATGCAAGCCAGTTGCCTCTGTCTGGTTGATGGTTTGGGATCAACAATGACAAAAAGCTACCTCAACTCAGCACTCATAAATATGCTATAACAGAATTCCACAATTGGATGGAGGTGACCGTATGCTTTGGCTGTTGCTGAACTCCTCAAGCATGTAAATAATATGTAACCAGAAAGAGTGTGCTAATGACAATCAAAAATCAAACTGAAACATTAATGCTTACTCTAATTAAAAACAAAGGTTAGCTTCCAAAAAAGTATTAGATAACTTACAGGTTAAAAAATGTGCCATTGGATCTTTAACGAATTAAAACCTATGATTAGTAGCAAAGTTTGTATACAATTTCATGTTCAGCAATTTGTTGTGTCAACATAAATTTTGAAGTACAAGAAAGTACAGTCATTTTTACTGAAATGTCAAGCAATTGGTTTGTCAGGACTATTACTTAAATTTTTTCTAATGTGTGTTCATGAGTCTTTTCAGCTAACATGCAGCCAGTTTAATCTACACATAACTGATCACAGTATTTCCAAGTGATAGTTAGATAAACATGTGAATTAATATATCATCTAATAAGTGGATTTTGGTCTCACAACATAAGATGTACTGTCTACATATAAGCAAGTAATGCATGAGTGTGATCACAAAATTTGATATCTTTGGGAATGTTGACTGAAAAGAACCATGATGACATTACAAGTGTTTTAGATAATGATTCTTAAAAACTAGAATGTTATGGTCAATTATAAATAGGTGAAATTGACCACATACTAACTGAAAGAGCCAATAAAGCCAGTATAAATATTCTAAATAATGACTTTAATAAACCAGTTACTTGACATTTTAACAAACATGGTCATTCCATACATTAGGTCATTCAAAGGTTACGTCGATGTGACAAATGGTGAAACATAAACTTGGTTGCTTAACACCCAACAGCATGAATGCTAGACTTTCATTCACTTAGGATTCAATGACACTTTTTTAATCTGTTACTTATTTAATTCTCTGATCAAAATCTATATATTTTGTTTGTAACTAGCTAAGCATATAGAATTTTGACTATTGTTAGCATACTGAATCTGATACAGTTTTTGATTATCATTATTAAGTTTCTTGGTACAAGTATTTGAGTGTAACTCTAAATTTAATCCACTCTATATAATCCTTTTTTTAGTTTGTATTTCTAACTATTTTTAATACATTTTTTAAATTCTAAAATGCTTTCATAGTGTGTTTGAAACCAGTTGTTTATGTATTTGGTGCCATCACACGTTGGGCTGTTCAAATATTTAATAATACTAAAATTAAAATTTGTGTGTTGATATTACTTTTCATTTTCGCCCCCCCAGTAGCACAGCGGTATGTCTGCGGACTTACAACGCTAGAATCCGGGTTTCGATACCCGTGGTGGGCAAAGCACAGATAGCCCATTGTGTAGCTTTGTGCTTTATTACAAAACAAACACTTTTGATTTTACAGTTTTTAATAAAATCTGATATCACATATTAATTTTTACTTATTCTGAATTGTTAAAAACTTGCCTCTCCATCTTTTGTTTTCCCAAACCTCTAATATCTATGGTAATGCTATACAGTATAATGGAATAAAATTTTAGTTCTTTCTGGTTTTAAAGGCTTTAATGCACCCAAAAAAGAGAATACTACCTAAAATGTCATTCTAATAAAATATATATTTTATAGCAATTAAGAATATTATGTTGTGTCATTTATTGAGTGCTAATTGTTACTACAGGAATTTTTCAGTGTTCCCTGTCATCTACAGACAGTGAAATCTCATTTATGTCCCTTACTACCCATTATATACTCAATTCTATATTTCACATTTTAAAGAAGACAATATAAAATTCTACCAAAACAGACTTTCTACACCTACTTACATTTGTAGTAATGCTTATAACTTCTTATGATTTTATCCTAATTTAACATATGTTCTTTCATTTATTTTAAGGTATAGCAACTTTTCCACTATTATTTATCTTCATATCACAAAGTTGAGATTTTTAAGTAGTAAAAAAGAGCATTAATTATTAAATGTTTAGATCTGTAATTTAAATACAATATTCTGTATGGTCTTGGTTTGCCAATTTATATACTTAATTCATGAACACAGGGCTATCTCAGGCTTGTCAATTTCTTGAATAAAGTCTCCATTACTTATTTTTATGACCCTGTTGACAACCTTGAAATAACAATCATTTCTATAAGGATCCTTCTGAATTTGTTTTTAACTCTCTGTTCTCATTCTTTAAACAGATTCTCACACCTTTTTATAATTCTGTCCATCCTTCTTTCAACAAACTGCCACATTTTGCTTTACAGCCTAAGAGATAATTTAAAAGAAATATTAACAATTTACAATATTAGAGTATATTCACATAAAATAAAAGCATAAATATTCATACAAATTTTTTATTGGTTGTAGATAATGAAACTTTTATTTATGATGTTCACAACTTTTCACCAGGTTTACCTAGCATCATAAGGTGAGATACAAGAACTGAATTGTTAAATTGTTTATAATTATAAATAGAATATTCTGAATAGTTTTGGTTAGTGAATAAATTTAATTCATGAACACAGGGTCTGTCAATTTCTTGACGGTTTTTGTATCTCACCTAACAAGTCCAGGTAAACCTGGTGAAATGTTGTGAACAAAATAAACAAAAGTTTTACTATGTACAACTGAAAAAAAAAATGTGTGTGAATCTTATGTAACATAGTTCTTTCTAATATTTAATTAACAAAAGCATAAAGTTTTCACGTGCTACTTATATAACTTAAAAATAACATTACCTTTTAAACCAAATCATACATAAAACTAACAGGCTACAAAAGGCAGCCTGCAGACTTTAACTCTCTTGTCACACGGTCGGTCAAATTGACTAATTTCGTAACTATTTTGTACTCATTATAGTTGCCATACTATAACTTTAATACAGTATGCATATCTTCACAAAATTCAATAGACTTTCAGAAAACATTACAAGTCTTTTGTACACAAAAAAATCAAGTTTTTAATAAAGTATTTTTACTAAAGATTTGTCTATGAATATATTAAGTCTTTTGTGACTAGTGTGAGTGCAAATTGATTTTCATGTTAAGATTAAAAATACTTTTCATCATCTCAAATTTCATTTGTGTAAACTCTAAAACCTCCTAAGTAAACTTTAAACGTTATTTTCAGTAAAACTATATATCTTATCTGTTATTTTCTCTACTCTAACTCTTACAAGGTTGGTCAATTTGACCACCAAAAAAGTTCGAAATAAATCCAAATTATCCTTTTTTTCTTTCTAGAATTACTTTTCTTCTCTCTAGAATGACTTCAAATTGTAACATGAAACTACATTTGTTTATCCTGAATAGCTTTAAACTCATAACAGTATACATCTACTTATAATTAAGTTTCATTGTTTTTTTGCCCTAGAAACCTTGTCTAACTAATATTCATACCATATATACATTGTAAACCATGTGGTGAACATACAGCTCATATTACGGTTTCGAATTACATAACACACGGACTACTCATGAGCTTACCTTGTGAAAAATTATTATTATTCTTTATTTTACCTTATCTGACTAAAAAATTTCCAATTTTTACATTTGAGTTACTTTTATAATAAGAAATAAAGAATACACAGGAAAAACAAGAAATAAAGTATTATCTGGGTCATCTTTTTTTTTATGCATTTCAAGTATCAATGACACTTAAGCCTACTTTTTTATATACTAATGGTATTACTGCATTAAATAATGCACCAAAGAATGTAGAATAATCAAAATGTCCCATAACTATCACAGTTTTTCTGGCTTTCTAACTATGTGACAAGAGCCATTAAAATTCAGCTTAGCTTGTCAGTATGTTTCCTCTAGAAATAAAGTTTGAACTGAAAGCATGATTGAAAATTATTTATAGAGAAAACAATATATATCATTTGATATATTAAAACCTTGGCTTTCAATAGTTTGTTAATAATATAGTATTAAATGTCAGAAAGAACTATTGGCAGTATCTGAAAGAAAGGATGTGACAGTGGGCATGGCAAGAGGGGGTCTGATTTTCTATTTGATGGCTCTGTAACAAAATAAGATTGAAGGCTGTAAATAATTATACTTTGCCCAAGTGATTAAAACATTACAATAAGTAATTTACATTAAATTTCATACTTCTTAAAAGGGATGGTAAATAAGTTAAAAAAGAAGGCATGCTCAGAGAGAGAAATGTGACAATTTTCATGTTAGGGGAATTTCAGGATTTTTTTTTCAATATTGCCATAAAAATTAAGAAGTTAAAACTCGAATACTATTAAAATTTGGATTAATAGCTACGTTTTTATGCCACATTTATTCAAATACCATGATAAGAAAGTAGCTTAATTAAACTTTGAATGCAACTCACTAAAACCTTGTGACATGCTCAGAAAAAGATGCCTGTATAAAAAAAGTGTTTAATGATAATCATTCAGTGAAATTAAAAATGATAAACTGTAACAAATGTTTTTATGTGCAAAATTTAAGCCAAGCAGAAACTGTACATTACAAGTAAGGCCATAGTAATATCAACAGAAGGATAACTACAAGAGAATTATGAGAAATAATAAAGGCATAGCTTAAATATAAATATTAATCATAGTCATGCTCTTAGAATAATACATAAACAAATTTAACTCATGTAAACAGAAACATACCTCAGATCTTTCTTCTATAGCTACAAAACTTGTAAGGCTGCACACAATGCCAAACTTAGTACTCATGTCAATAATTTCTTGTTCTTGTTCTTTTTTCTTTGTCAATTGTTTTATTCTGTTTTCATCTAGTAAACCTTCTTCCCAGTCATAAATGACTGATCGAGCTGCTAATTTATGCAGAACCTAAAATAATTTTTTTTTCACAGTGAACAACAGACTCACTAGAACACACTGCTTTAAATATTTGTTCAAGATATGCAACCTTTAACTCTACAGCAAAATATATTAACATTTTTATACCAATATTAAAATGTGCATCTTATTAACAGGGTATATCAATTCAGGAAAATGGAAATAACTGATATAAAATTAGGTTTAACTATAAGGAGCACTGAAAATAATTACATTAATTAGTCTCATAACATCATACTAAACAATAAAATCCTTAAACTAAGGATTCCAATAATAATAACAGATACAATCACACAGCTGAACAATATTTCATATAAACCTTAAACATAAAAGATGCTAACCTTAAACTGATCAATACCTCAATTACTAAAGGTATATTTAGCTGACAAATCAGTGCTGTTATTTATTACTTGAAACTTAAGTGTTCTGAAAATATTTTAGGCCAAGTCAATAAGCAAACATTTTAGCATATTAGTTCTACTTTTGTGACTATTTATATGATTATCATTTTCACTTTTATTTATTTCTAGTATCATTTTTGTGAAGTATTCAAACTGTAACTACATGACAAGGGGAATTCCATATATATACACAATTAAACAATTATAGTGTTCTGTATACTAGTACTATTATAGATACAAATATACCTTGTACTTAACTGCATTTTTGATTTGTATAAAACATAAATTAAGAGCCAACTAAAAACCAACATCACCAATGAATGACTGAGATAATACATGCACAAAATTGTTAACAAGAGTGCTTAATTGATATTTATTTTAACAATGGGAATGGCATTCACCTCCTTTCCCTCTCAAAATGAGCACTGTTTCAGTGGTCTCCAAACAATTACACATCTTTAGAATCTATGATATAACAGTTTTATTGCATGTGATGTCAGGATATTAACATATTGTGATATTTCAGTTGTACTCAGTTTTAGTTATGATGCAGTGAAAGTCAGTTATTACAAGCTGAAGGCCTAAGCACCATTTACATTAACATTTTATTTTCAAAATACTAAAGTTCTTTTACCCAACAAGCTCATTTTGTTTCCTATCTTCCATTATTTTAATCTATTCAAGACCATAAATATTATGTAGGTAGGATTTGGCTGATACCATAAGTGTGAAGCGAAAGTGGGCTAATAAGTCAGAAACCTTTGCACTTTATAATTCTCCCAAAAGAGCTGTCACTACTGCACATACATGTATATCTGAACACATGCAAGTACAATCCCAGAATAGATAACATAATGCAACACAGTGACCTCCATTTCCCCCTTTCAAATTATATTAACAGCTTACTTAAGTATCAGTTTTTTTCCTTACTAAAATAGAAGATCAGAGATTAAGATACTGGGAGGACATCAACCACATGAAGATAAACATTTTCTTACACTGAAAACTAATTTTCAATAGGTACTTACCTCCTTTCACACAAAGCTATCTCAATCTTCTTTCTGCCTCCTAAGCATTGCTAAAAAATTTTGATGCAACAGCATATATACCCCACAAATTTTTCACCACTTTTGAACATGTGTATAGCACATGACTACCCTCCACCAATAGTGCTGCCCAACCAATATTGGTGCAACTAGTTCCCTTTGATGTCTCTGCTCAATCCTCACTTTCGACAATTGGGAGGATCTAAAATGAATAACATCAGCAGTGGAGAGGAAGGGTGGGAGGTAAGTACCTATCAGTAAATGTTAACTTTCAAAACGGTCTTATCTCCACTCTCACACAAACCTAGAAATCTACACTGAAAACATGGAGGGGCCTGTATAGGTGCCCAACATGTAAACCAAGTGGAAAGCGACCACCTAGAAATAACTGGTGTGCTCAGAGACAAAACAAAGCAGACAGTAAGTAAACAGAGCATGTTATGTCATGCAACTGGAATTACAGAGAGAAAGTTAGCATTTGGCCAAAATAGGACAAACTCCCAAAACCACCATATAAGCAAGAAGTATCACAATCCGAAACTGGCATTACGGGTTGTGTCGTTGCCTCAACTGAACTGTAAGAACAGGGCAATACCCGTAACTGGTATTAAGAGCAGAAATGTATCCCACCCAAAAGTAAATACAAGGAAGATACTCCTGCACTCAGAATTACAAGGAGGATATGGAACATTTGCTCAACAGTGTATTAAGAACAGTGTATGTATGTCCTGTTGGCAGAATTATGAGGCAGATAAAGTCCCCCAAACTCAACTGTAGGAGCAGGGAAGGAAACCTCTTGCAACCAGAATTAATGAGAAAGGGAACCTTTGCTGCACTCAACCGTAGGAACAGGGAGATGTCATCCCAAACACAGTATCATGAGAAGGATTCCATGTAGGCTGGTCCTACTCCCACTGACAACAGATCCACCAAGGAATAAGCATCCAGGTGAAAGGGAAGGAGCAAACCCAGCTTTGCCCTCTTCTCACTGAGTGGATAAATGTGTGGTTGTATTGCAATTTCTACTTCACATCCAGGAGAAAGCCTCCTTTAGTTCTATGCACATTTGTTTTTCTTTGACTTGGGTAAGTCTTTTCCCAACATTTCCTTTATATTTTCTTTTCAGGGACTCTCTTTTTACCACTGCTAATGGGATCCCACTTTGTAGCAAGTATTGCCTGGTCAAGTATGCCTGAACTCAAACTCGCACTATATACTGGTGGGGCTATAATTCTGTAGAGATGAGGTGTTACACATAACCACTAGTGGCATGCCTAGTTGTATATACATACGTGTCTCTCAGTATCCACAAGTTTCCTTCGGTGGTGGACTGTCACTCATGGACTTTCATGAGTAAAGCAGGAGATTTCTGCCCATCCCTGTTGACCCTTGGTTTCATAAATTGGAAAGGTTTGCTTTTCAAAATCGTGAACACCCATTGCACTTTCTCTAGTGTTACATCCCCCTGAACTACCCACCACATTTATTTCCCACTCTTTTTTTCTCCAAGTGGAGCACGGGAGCCCTTACCAGTTCCAAGTCACTTCGGTAGTGGACCACGGGAGCCCTTACCAGTTCCAAGTCACTTCGGTAGTGGACCGGCTTTCACTCCCCTTTCTTTACATTCCATTTCCCACCTGTACTCCCGTTCTGATGCTGATCAGTTTCTTTGCCCAGTTCACTCCCAAAGGTTTTATGTAGCACATACTGCCTTCTTTCAGTGTTTACGTTCCTGACTTTGTTTTCTGGAATCTTTCTGTTTTCTGTAGTCTATCTCCTGTCACACTAACTGGTTGGGTTTGTCAACTTCTTAGGTTGGCATATTCAGACTTAACCATGGAAGGTTACTGACTTTGCAAGGTTTATTCTAATCAAATTTATTATACAACCATATCTTTGGCTGCTTGTCTTCGTCGTCTGTTGGAGGAAATTATTCAGGCCAGAATGTAAACTACTCCCAATACCTTTGGCGCTCATTGTTTACACGATCTGGCTGTATTTTCCTCAGGTGGATATTGTCTCCCTCCTGTGAGAACCACCTTCACGGGCAGCAGAAGTCTTAGGTAGGATGGACTGGTCTGGATATATGATGACATAAGAAGAATGATAGAATATTCTGTTAACATTAAGGGCATGAATATCTAATTGACAGCACCTACAAGCTAGAAGGAGAAGGAAATAGGTCTTGAGGTAGTGATGGTATATGGAACACATTGACAAAGATTCAAAGGGAGGATGGGAAAGAGCATAAAGGACCACACTCAGATGGCAATCAAGCAAATAAAAGTAACATAGTGGATGCAGAACATGAAAGGAGCAGAAAAGGAGAGAAATGACAGAGGAAAACAAAACCTTATGAAACTTGGACAAGGCCAGCTAATAGGTATACATGGTCAAAGTAAGGAAGCCTTTGTTAAACAACCAGGTGATAAATTGGTGGAAGATGAGGAATAGAAGGATGGAAATCATGTCAAAGAGATCAAAGGTGGAAAGTAAACCACTGCCTCTGGTAAATTGACATAGAAGAAGGTCTTATGGATCAGGAAAGGAAAGATACAACACATCAAGTCAGTCCCTGGGCTGAGGCAAGGGACTTGACAAAAGCCATGCATGAAGATGGAGGGTGGTGACATCTGGAGGAACAATGTTCAACCGAGGCTGATAGAGTAGGGACGATGACAGAGGTAAGGTAGGGGAGGTTGTAGAAGTAAAGGACAGAGCTGTGAGAACCAAGGTTGTTCCAGCCAAACCAGAGTCACGAGGAGGACTAGACATGGTGTGATTTGGATTAGGGATAGAACTCTGGGGAGGAGTCAAACAGAAGGGTAAGCATAGATGTGAAGACGCTTCCAATCTTGACTGAATGTTTCCATCCACAGAGCTAACAAATGTGAAATGGGAGACCAAAAGGAAGGAAGTTTGATGTTCTAGTGGGTGGCGAAGGCATTGATATTAGGTATCCCCAGCTGAGAGCACACACACCAAAATACTTATGGATCAAGCGACCACTCCATGGGGAGAACCTTGTTGGATCAAGATAATCAATCCGCAATCAGATTAAGGGGACCAGAAACATCCCAGTTGAATTCCTTTCTGGATCCCCCCATCATTTCACTATGGAGACCAATCTCTCACTTCGAGGGTATTTTCCCAAGTACTCTGGATGACCAAATTTAATGTGATGGACATTGCTTCACATCCCCATTGCTCCCAAGTCATGTTGTTTTCTTTGGTTCATCCACAAGGGTGGAGTGTTCCAGTTCCAGACACTTTGGTTGGGACTAACTTTGGCTTTTTATTTGTTTTGTTGGGCAGTATGAACGTTTGCCGAACATCTTCTTGTTGGGTCCTTGCACTCTTCATTACATGAAGGCTTCTACTCGCTTCTTCCTTTTCACAGTTCAAGGACCACACTCATCTGCTCCTACAAGAAGCAGCATGTATTGGATTCCTGATAAAAGTGGAGAAGTCTGTTCTTATTATCCCCACGTAATACCTTATTCATTTGGATTTTTTTTCTACAATTCCCACCTCAGTTGGGCCCAGCCTTCTCCTCTTCATCTTCTAGATATGGAGTAAGTAGTGTATAATGCCCACACCTCACATTCTCTAACAGCTCAAGAGGTTCTATCTCTTTTTGGGGATGTAGGTTTCCTTGGAATCTCTCATTTCTGTGGGTCAGGCTCATATGCATTACCTCAAGTGGTCACTCCTAGATCAGTGGAACTTCTACTTGGATCCCTTGGACCACCCTTTTATCCGTCCTTCCCCCAATCAGGGTTAATCTTGCCTGGTGATTAGACAGAGACCAGACTACGACAGAGGGTTCTGCTTCCCCCACCTTGTCTGGATTTACATCTGTTCATAGACTCATCTTTAGAGGGTTTGAGTGCTTACCTCGACTCCCAGAAAATTTCCAGTCTCTTTTTAGTCATAGAGTCTTTATCTCCACATCAACATTCTTGAACTTACGATGGTTCATCAAGCTATATCTCACTTCATTCCTCTTCTGCAGGGGAGGGTCGGTATGGTACATTCTGTGAACTCCAAAATGGTCACTTATATAACCAAGCAGACCCTGGATTTGCTTTTCTGGGCCCACAGTCACCATAAATCAATGATAGGTCTCTAATTTTACATCTTCTTGGGAACTACAAAAAGATGGGAATAAAGCCCTGGTTGAATGGAGCACACCTATTCAAAAGCTTCTTTGCAAAGCAGATCGTGGACTGCCTTGGTAAGATGACCAAGAGATGTTGGATCCGGTGGAGGTGGGAAGGAAGAAAGGGAATGGGAAAGGGGAGGTGGAGACCAGAACTGAAGGCAGAGATCTCCTGACACAACCTAAAAACCCACAGATTCGTTGTAAAATGACCCCACATTGGTCCTGAACCTTCCATTGCATCACCTACACTGTTGGTGTTGCTCAGCTCAGGATTGAGAAAAAACGAATATAGGGTCAGGAGTGCTAGGAGGAAGGTAAGGGTCTAGGTGAGGAAGGAGGAGACTTAAAAACAAGAATAGATGCCTCCTGGTAAGAAGTAAGAGGGTGAGATAATCGTGTCCAGAGAAGGCAAAGAAGAGTTTAACCTAACCACATCAATCCTGGATTCCAAAGAATCTGGACGACCTCCAAACACGGTATTTCATAAGAAAAAGGCCTGACACAGATCCCACAGGGATGAATGGAGGTGATGCACCCATACAAATAATGTACCTCTCTCCAACAAGTTGCAACAGCACTTTATCCAGGTATTAAGGGAAAAGGCACAAGCCAGTAACCAAGCTACAGTGGACCAAAGGAGGAACCCGGGTTCATTGGAAAAAGAGATACAGGAACAACAATAAGGCTCTGACAATAAATGGAGGACCTAGGCATTGGGTTCAACTTTATTTCAGAAGGTACAGGTCATAATTTGCAGGGAACTAGATTCATATGTTTGGCCAGTAATTTCTTTATTTTGTTCAACCTTATAATGTTTCTGATGGTGAATACGATCAAGGAGAAAACAAATCACTTTTTCCAGCACATTTTTATTTTTTTCTGTCACACTACACCTCATTAGGAGATCTTATCTTTTACACCTTTTTTTACAGCTGGTTAATCAGGTTGTGGTATATTGCAGGTTTCCCCTATTTCCTATGATGCCTCCCCATCCTTATTGGGGGGAATTTCATCTTCTCAATATTTTGTTTTTTCCCCTTCACCTGAGATAAGGGTTCATGTGCAGCAATTTTTGGATCAACTACAGTTAGGTGTTGGCATGCCCCATCCCCCTTGCCTGTTGGTCCACCATGCTTTGGTGTACCATTGCTCTTCAGATCCATATTTACAGTCTCAGCAACTGGATTCTCTCCTTCCTGAGGCTAATGTTCGTTTTTAATCAGGCACAATTCTCAAGGATTTGCCTTTCCCTTTCTTCTCTTCTCTTTTAAAACATACTATTCTTTTTGCCCCATAAGCATTGCTAAAAAAGGTTAATGCTAAGTGCATCGGTCTGTGTACCCCACAAATTTCACACCACTTTTGAAAATGTATGTAGCATGTGACTACCCTCCACCAATATTACTGCACCACTTATATTGATACAGCTAGTTCCCTATGATATTTCTGCTCAATCCTCAATTTCTCGATTGGCACAGCATTGTTTAGACATGTTTTTTAGCATGTGGCTACCATTTATGATTTTGCTTTGTTGTCATTTCAATTTTTTTATTTTTTTCAACAGTTTTCTTTTATTGTGTTTGCATTCAAATGTTTCTTTTTTGCCTTTGTTTATTGTTACGGAATTATAAGAGAACTTCGAATGAATTTCCAATTCAATATATCAACTTTGGAAGTTCCTGTTATGGTCAATAATGCTACTAGTACAATTGAGATAGCTTTGTGTGAAAGGATGTAAAGCTGTATTGGAATTAAAATTATGCAAACTGACAAAAAATACAACTGTAACTACCTGTGACATGATCCAACAGGAAAGATTAATTGCTGACAATTGTTCTCTGATATATAAAAGATGGAGGAATTGTAGGACCGTTATTGCTTTTGTTTTAAATTTTGGTTTAAACTACTGAAGAAAATTTACTATTTTGAAAAAGAATCTTGAGCATCATACCTTGAAACCTAAATTCACTGCTCAGACATACTACAGTACTAGTGTAAAGTAATGCACTGAATGGTATCCATTCATCAAATTCATTCATTGTTAAGCTTATCAGTCACATCCTAATGTGCAACAATTGTGTCCCATTATGAAAATGTTAAAAATGTTTAGCCAATCTTTTAGCATTTACAAGATTTTATCAGTGTTCCCTAAACACATATTTGTTCTTGATGTGTTAGTGAAACTGAAATTCCAAGTTCTGAATCAATAACAAAGTTTCAAGCAGAACAGGTAACAATGCCCATGAAAATTAAATCTCTCTCTCTGTTTTTAAAACAATTAAAGCTGAAGTCAGCTCAGAAAGTGTATATATTCACCAATTCTTTAGGCTGGCAAAACTTCTGCAAATATTAGATAAAGATTATGCAAAGAAGGTGACCACACACAAAGATATGAACATCCAAGAAAACAACAAGAAATAGTAAAGTAACTCTCCAAGAGAAGTGTCCAACATTATGATTCTACAGGCAAAAAATATTTTTAAAAAGTGAAAATTCAATATCATTTTATGTTATTAATCCAAAACTTTTCTATTAGTGTACATTTAATTTTCCTGTTTGAAATTTATGACAAGAGAATGCTATACAATATCATTTAAACTGAGAAAATAAGTGACAGTACAGGAGTAATTAAGTCAAAAATACAGAAGGACTATCATCATTACATAAAGTACTGAAAAAACAACTCAAAGATGTATTCAAAAAATGTTTAATTACAAGAAATTTCTATCACTTTCCAAATACAACAGCAGAATAAAAAAAATGCTTCAGTACACTGACACAAATAAAAACATTTTTTGAGAATATTACAACTGAAGATAGACTTAGTGCTCTTGATATGCTTTCACTAGAAAATGAGATTATCCACATTATTTCAGACTTCAATTGGCAAGTAGGTCTTAAAATAAACAAAACAGACACTTTTGATACAAAACTAATCAATAAAGGCTTCCAGTTTCAGAATTCTTTGTGCCTTATAACTTTTTGGTGATGAGCAATCACTGTTGTGAGGTAAACTAACAAAGACGCAAGTAGAAATTCATCTCTTTTTAACTGACATTCTTTTCATTGCTACTGAAACTAAAAAACATCACCAAATACTTCATTCCTGTTTTATTGCACTTAACTATCACACTAATATTCAAAACAATCACTTTTCATTCTACTTCAAGTCTATAATATCATAAGTATTCATAATTTATTATTCATACTTAAGCTAATCAGTGTCAAATTCACTTACATAACAGAGATGTTATATATACGACACTCAGATTATGCTGAGCTATAAAATATCATATCATCTCACAGTTTTTCAAAGCTTACTAGTACTTCCACACACACACTGTACTAACCAGTCCAACTGTCTCATTAAGTTCTGAGGTAGACACAACAGTAGAAATCTCTTGCCCACAAACCTCTGCTTTCAGGGTAGCCTGAGAAGTTACAATTAGCACTTTATTAGAATTAATAGGGTTTTAAATAGCTAACATCAAAACAGTATTTTAAACTTTTTAAATCATGCTTATTTAGACTTGGACATAAAACTGTTTGTCAATAATAAGTTTAATAATTATGTATCAGGCTTTAGAATTTCCAAACTTAAAGATCAGCAATAATTTTTTAGTCTTCATCTTGTTTTAGAATGACAATTTACAAGAAGGCAACGATATGGTTCCTAGATTCAAATTTTTCAAGTAATAACATGAAACACACATCAAACTGTTCAAGTAGTAAACATGTACAGAAAGAAAATCCTCAAGTTTCAACATTATACCAATTTTTTAGCAAATGGTGTTTTTTAAATTGCTCAGATATATGATGCATTCTTACTTAAATTATTCAATTTTAAATGCTATCTGGTGCTGAAACAAGATCTCACTAGGTTAGGAATAAGTTTGTTTAATCTCTTTCAAGAATTACTGAACATTTCAATCAATTAATTTTATCTTTATACAGTTTGTAAGATCTAAAAATTTTTAGGCTAGTGTTCATGCCTTTATAAATTTACATAAGTTGAAAATAAATCACATAAAAAGGATTATTAATAGTTTCTGACCAAAAGTAAGCTAACTACATACAAAATAACTAAAACTTAACTTATGAATTACTGAAACCAATTTTCTGTAATAAACTGTCTAGATGTCTCATACATCAATACATAAAAAAATTAATAAACAGAATACACTTAATTATCAGTTGGTTATCCTTATTATGCATAATATTTTCAGTCATAATATCAGTATCTCACATAGTTTAATCAGTTTAGAAGACTTAGATTAGTCTCAAATCCATAAATTAAATTAGTGTGAAATACCCTTTATAAGTGTGTAAGTTAACAATCAACATTACTCATAACAACTAATAATGTTCATAATTATTTTAAATGTTATAATCCTTAAATATTAATGAAATTAGCTCTAAAGAAAATTTTGAGTTATGTCACTGTATGTCTTATGGCTTCACCACAAAATACAACTAGATTTAGACACACAGTGTAACATTATTATAACTCACAAAACAAAATGTATTGACTTATGAAATCGTTAGAACATTTCCATTCTTCATATGGTGATGAAAGAGTAAACAAGTACATATAAATAAATAAAATTGTCTTAAGTGGAAAATTCTCATTCATAACTAACACTTTTAAAATTGATATTGCTAATATTATTCTAACATATGTATATATTACACCACTGTTCATACTCAAGCAAATTTGATGTGTTTTAATGTTATCCTGAAGAATGCGTGTTACATAACTGTATTTCATCTTAAGACTGAAAATAAGTATTGGTGTCATTCTGATGTATGTATGTACATTCATGCTTTAAGTAGCCAGAAAATAAGTTTTAATGTTGCCTTAATCTATATGTGTAATACAACACTAATTGATGTTGAGATGATATTCTGTCGATTGATTTAACTGTAATAATTATTTCTGTTACACTAATGATTATTCCTACAACACATTCTTATTATTTCTTCATGAACATGTAACAGCAAATCCTATTACCTGATAATCTATATGGAATGGAATAACAGATTCTATCATTTGGGGTTTTTATTCAATATATGTACCTGTAACAATAAATCTTGTTACCTAGCAACCTAAGGTAATATGGAAATATGTACATGTAACAGCAAGTTTTGTTACTTTATGAATCAATGAAAATATGCACTTATAACAACAAATTCTTTTACAAGTGATTTTGCCTACAAAATAACTGATTCCTATTACCTGGTGATACTACTGATAACAAGCCATTATAACAACTGATCTTATAAGCTCAGGTTCCCCTAATAATAAGTGATGATTACTCACTAAAACCAAATTTTATTGCAAAAGCTGTCCAACTTACCATGTGGCAATGTGGCACAAAACCATAGATAATTTGTCTGTTTCCACTAAACAATGACATGATTTGTCTAGGAGCCTGAAGTGGTATTGGAGCATCTTCATCAAACAGTTTCCATTCAACAGAAATGTTGGTTAATACCGGCTGTGCAACTTTTTGAAGTTGAGCATTAACCTGAATTACAAAAAGTATCATTTAAATTTGAATATACTGAAATATAATATTTGCAGGTTACAAGAAGAATGTTTGGAAGATCTTAATTATTTATAATCAGCTTAATTTGTTTACCCCCCAAAAAATGTCTAGCCTTACAAAGCATAGACATAAAACAATTATATTTCTTTAATCATCTGTTAACAACAAAACTTCTGTTTTTTATGAATAGCATTAAAAACAAGTCTTCAGTTATCAAAATTCATTCAGTTAAGGCTTTGTTTCAATAGTACAAATCTTGCTATCTGAGTATTTAATAATTTAGTTTGTTCTATGTTAACAGTCTAGCTTTTTCTGATTTTATTTGAAGTCTAGTAAATATTTCCTATGTCAGTAATCTACATTTGGTTACTAATAAACAGAGATACATTCAAAAAAAATATTCTAAGCTCTAACTAAAAAAAATAAACATTTGTAGAGCATGTCTTAATAGGCATGATGTTTAGAGAGAGTAAACTTAAATATAACCTCTACATGGTATTGTTACAGCATCTGTCACAGTAATGAGCATATGAGCCTCTAATATTCTTCAATATAACTCTTCTAACACTAGGAAATATAGTTGCCCAGTAAAGAAATTCTAGCAATAACAAATGCTAATACATATAGCATTCCCTAATAAAACACTTGTAAGGAAACAAACAGGACAATATTTAGAATTTTAGGAATAAAATTACTTTTATCTCCAAGAAAATGTTACTTAAATTCTAGCATTTCAGTTTTGCATCTTCATCAAGGGTTACCAGTTGCTGCCAAGGTTTCACTATATGTAACAGAAGACTTGTGAAAACTGGAGATGTTTCATGTCTAGTTTTCTGTTACAGTCGAGCCTTGTCAACAGTTCTACCTCTTAATAAAGGTGCAAAACTGAAATGTTGGAACATAAATTAGACAAATATTATATTTTTCTGGAAACAAGAACTGTTTTATTCACAGCATGTTTAAGATACTCCAGTCTGCATTATGTGCTTTGAAAAGAGTAAACAATAAACATTTAGTGTTGGCCAATAAAACTGATGAGTTTGTTTGTAGTTAAGCACAAAGCTACACAAAGGGCTATCTGTGCTCTGCCCACCACGGATATCGAAACCCGGTTTCTAGCGTTGTAAGTCCGCAACATACCACTGTGCCACTGGGGGGCAAACTGATAAGTTCCAGCACTAAGCGAAAGCCTCATCATGTGTGGTATACACAAACAAGGTAATACTGAAATGCTTTAGAACTTCTTCTTACTGAATACCAGTACTGGGCAAGTAAAGAATTTTGTGATTCAAATTATTATCATTATTGCAATGAAAGTGTAAGTAACATCATCATGCTTCACCAACTAATTCGATGACGAGGAACCCACTTTGAGACTAATAATGGCTGGAGACGGCTTAAATGGGTAATGAAGAAAAACTTTAATACAAGTTTAACATGACAGCTAATGTACAACGTTTCGACAAAGGGTTTTTGTTTATCCCGGAACCTGAGGGTGAAAAAAACTTTCTTAAAC